GTCATCCTTTGTCTCTGCACCTCTGCACCTGACTGGAACTAGATGGGTGGAAATGCCAGCATGGCAGAGGAATATTGGACCATGGGATGGACTTGTGGGTCTGGGGGCAAGGTCTTGAACTTTGAATTGGGTGGGAAACCCAGGAAGCTTTCAGATTCGGGTTTTCCACAGTTTGTACCAACATGTCTCTCTTATTAAATTGGAACTTGGATGAAAGCTATGCCTTAGACTCTGATTTAATTCTGGATGATATTTGGAACGCTGACAGATGGAGGGGAAAAGAAGAAGGGGACGACGGAGAAGGAGATGGCTGGATGGAGTCACCGAAGCAGCCGGCGTGAGCTTCAATGGGCTCCAGGGGATGGTAGAGGACAGGAAGGCCTGGAGGAACATGGTCGATGGGGTCGCGATGGGTGGGACAGGACTTTACAACTAACAATAACATTATAGGAAAACACCCGTGCTGCCTTCTTCCATGGGATCCAGGAGTAATGGGTCTGGCAGAGGGGGTGGCAATCGGGTGCGAATCTTCCTCTGGGCCTCCTAGCCCTTCCCCAGAGTTTAGCCTGCGCCGCAAAGCACTGCGTGGGAAGACTCCGCCAAGAGCCCTGTGCCAGAGCACCTTTGCCAGGAACAAACAATTAAGCATAATTGCTCCGGTGCGGCCTCACGCCTGTTTGGATAACACCTGTCGCTGTGCCAAGCCGGCACACCCTCCCTGGTTAATTATTTCAGCAGACGGGGACCAGCCCAGGAGTCCCCGAGGCTGACGGGCCCGGAGGACGCCGGGAAGAAGCACAGGGCAGACACCCCGCCTGTGCCAAGCCCAGCTGGGCTCTTCCCCCAGGCTCCTTTGGGAACCGAGGTGAACCCGGACTCCCACCTGCGGTGAACGGGAGATGCGTCTTTTGGTGAAGTTTCCTCACCCACTGGCTGGTTTCTGACTTGCGGGAATCCAGCTCAGTTTATTCTGCTAGTGATCGATCGGTGTGGGAGAGTTGGGTGATTCCTTTGCTCCATCTTCTGGACCAGAAACCAAGGTTTGAATAGGGGACCATCGGCCTAATGGTCAAGGATTGGGTACCCCGATTGTACAAACACGGAGGAGCCCAGGTTTCAGCTCCTGCTGGATACCATCTATATCAGGGGTCCCCAACCTTTCGGACCTCAGGGACCACTAAATTCATAATTTTAAATCCTGCGGACCACTAATAGGATCTGCCCAATGACCGGCTGGGTGGGGGTGGCAAAGTAGCCATGTGATTGGATGGGTGTGGCCAACTTGATGTCACTCATGTCGAGGGGTGTGCCTCGCCAGCCTCTACTCACCCCTCCCCTGCCAGCCACTCCTCGCCTCCCCGCCAGGGCTCCTTAGGGCCCCAACAGGAAGCAGTTGCTGGAGCTAAGGAGCCGCCATGAGAAAGAGTTGGCAAAACAGCTCAGTTCAAATTGGATCTGACCGAGGAGGCTCAACAGGAGCACCTCACTGAGGACTAGGAGCATAGGCTTTCCAAGCAGAGGAAAGACCTGCGGGAGTGCAAGGCCAGATACGGGCGCCTGGAGACTCAGTGGGCTGAGATGTTCAGCCAATTCCAGGCCGTGATGCAGTCCAACAGGAACGAGGCCCTCCGGCTCTTTGCCACCAGTGATGCTTCCCTCCAGCCTTCACCTAAAGCCCCCACCAGGAGGCCGAAGCAGACCCCAAACCGGAATTTCTGCCCCCCTCCGACTCTCACAAAAACACCCCTGTAGGGGGAGACTCTGTGCAGCAACACAAGCATTCATTGCACGTATCCGTCCCAGGGGCCATGGATTCAGGACCCCTGATTTAGCGCAATATAAAACATGCAAATAATTTTTCTGTGGACCACCAAAATTTTCAGGCAGACCACAAATGGTTCACAGACCATCGGTTGGTGACTGCTGGTCTATATAACGAAGCAGCGCGAACCACTGTACCAAGCCAAGCAGACTTTCAAGCAGCAACACAACTGGCGCTTTCTCCAGATCTTGCACACAAAAACACACACATCATTGTGTAGGTTTCGTACCAAAGAGGAAGCGCCTCTGTGCTCCACAAGGATGCCTCTGTGCAATGGGGGTGCGGGGTGGGGGCGGAGAGGGCACAAACAAGATAAAGACACTGGCGGGATGGGTTGTGCTCTCTTAGCAAAGGCCCCAAGGGGAAGATGGCGGGACAGGCAGATGGAAATTGGTGACAGACGCCCAGGGCTGGGGTGGAGAAGATGCCTTCGAGACGCTGCAGGGATCAAGAGAATCTGTTTTGAAGAAAAACAGATCCACTTTTTATTAGCGTTTTCCGATGCAGGTGTTTTTTTAAAATGAAAGATAAAAAGGAAGATAAAGAGTAGGGAAAATGGAGCCACAAATTAATTGCCCTCTTTGTCCCTGCCTTCCCAGTATAATGCTTTCTCCCTAAATGCATAAATCATTTTTTTTCCTCTGTGTGCAAAAAGTTCATGTAAGTCTTTAAAAAAAAGTGATCTGATGATTAGAGGACTGATACCACAAATGGCAGAAGACATGAGACTGTTTTGCTACTGGAAATATACAGGTTGATAGATGGAAGTACATAATTTAAAACTAGTTAAACTTAGTGAAATTTAGTGACAATAGATATAGTCAAATAAATAATTGATATATTGTTACAATAAGTAATAATTGGATATGAATATTTGAATGATAACCACGAAAGGAAGATTAGAATTTTTTTTGGTTATATATAAAGGCTAATAAAAAAAATAAGTTAAATTTAGTTAAATTTGATTATAAGAAGGAAAATTGTTATGACACAGGATACAGTCAAATAAAGGAGGGATAATAATACAAAGGAAAATATATATGTATGGGGACAACATAAGGAAACTGGATGTAAATGGTAAACAGTGATTTGGTAAGGAGGATTAGAAATTTTTGTNAGTAAGGATCCGGATCTCAACAGGGAGCTCGTTCCAGAACCTTGAACCTTACAATTCCAAAAACTCCAAAGGGCCACGAGCTGCACAGCCAGGCGTTAACCCTGACCCGCCTTTGAAAACATTACTCTGCAGACTCCCCCATGGGTAAAGAAAGATAGAGGCGCGAGGAGAGTTACCCCTTCTTTCTTGCCCTGCCACAGCATTTTCCTCTTCTTTTCTTGCTCGGCAAACTTCATGGGGTTCACCGCTGCCGGGTTGTAGTAGCTGGGGACGGCTATCCCCGTCTCGGCCAGAGCCTTCGCCTGCAGGGCTGCCATCTGAGCTGCCATGGCTATTTGCGGAGTGACCTGTGTCCCAGAAGCCAGGAGAGCCGCGACGTTGATGACGGACCCGCCGGTGGCAGCAGCCGCTGAAACCAAGAAAATGTTATTCTTCCAAAGGACCGGGCTAATACGCCAGCTTTAAAGCCATAAAAAATTGATAGCGTCTCTCTTGGTAGGCAGCTTTTACCAAATACGTAACTGGTATTTTTTTAAACAACGGTAGAAGAGTAGAAAGTCTCTAGAGACAGATCAAAGTGAAGTAAAAGTGGTGCAGTGTTACTATCTCCATTTATTTGAAAAGGAAATTCAATTACCGGCAACCATTTCCTGTTGCTTCTGCTTCTCCACCAGTTCTTTCTCTCTCTGTTCTTGCAATTTTTTGGCTCTTTCCAACCTAGGAAAATAACAATGCAGAAAGACGTGAAAAAGGGGTTTTCCCCAACCTCACTACTGTTACTGTTCATTCAGAAACGAAACAGCAAAGGAGAAGCTGACAAAGCTGCACACAAGTCAAAGGTTATCTAGTCCTTTACTCTATTGCTCCTTCTTAAGTTTGATTTGCCAATTGCCTCCAATAAGACCGATCAGATCCCAGAGATTAGGCCTCCTCCGAATTCCGCAAAGCCCTTAAAACCTGGCTGTTCCGACAGGCCTGGGGCTAAAGAACTTTTTGCCCCCCTCCTCGAATGGTATGGTTGTTGTGTG